CCTTCAAAATGCAATTAAGTTTTTTGAAGCTTGCAAGTCTGTTGGGGGAAAAGTAATTTGTTTTAAATATGTTTCCTATGAATCTGCCAAAACACGAAATAAAGACTACTAAACTCCTTCCTAAAACTAACAGACATTACTGAATGCTTCAGAAAGAAAAAAAAATATAGCCCATTAAATTCGTCTGTGTCCAAATAATTACAGATGAGGTCAAGATTAATGGAAAGAAAATACCTCAACAGAGTATTTGGCTTTGTAATTACTTAATGCAATTTGTATTTAAAATAAGAAGGCATTTATCAAAATCCACTGATTCAACAATCTCAGCAACAACATCATCTGTCTTAACAGTTCACAGGTGGCAGGGCTATACACATGTACACACTAAACAAACTGAGGTCACGCATACTACTATTGCCAAAGGCCATGGTGTTGATGAGACTGGGATGTATTTCTTATTCAGATTTAGTTTGATTTAGTCTGCATCTGTTTTCGTGCAATTATAGCAGTTGGATATCCCTGTTTGGACTGAAGGTCTTACTTTTAGACCTCTCAAATAAATGGACTTAGCTGGTCTGGGAGTTTGCCTAAACATGATCAATTGTAGTAGAATGTTGACAGTCTGGGTGTAAGTTAATGTTTAACTATTGGAAAGAATTTGGATTGGATAGCTAAAATGCATATAATGGATAAAACGAATACTTCCAAATGGTTGTTTATCAGAAAGGGACTGAAGGGATGTCTAAACTCTAGACAATGGTAAAAATGTTCATATCACAGCCAAAATAGTCTGCAGAAACACAGATCTTCTTAGATAAAGACATCAAGTAGAGGCAGATATGTCAGTCTAATACTCTGGGACCCACAGGAATCCCATGCCGCCACTGGACTGTACCAACCATTTTATACTGTTCTGGAGCTTTTTTCATGGGCATTTGACTAATGTTTTTAGAAGAAAAGAGTGAACAAAGTCTAGGGACACTTACCCTTGCCTATATCCAGTCATTCACTCTCTAGTTCCACACCAAGCCCTTTATTGTTCTGTTAATCCTATAAATTTGTGCAGTTGAAGTGCTTTATTTATTGTGCCCCTCTAAGCACTCTAGGGGTTCTGGAAGCTACCAGCATTAGTTACCTTCTTCCAGAAGATCCTCACCCCTCACAGCTACTCCTAACATTTCAAAGAAAGTGAAGTAAAGTGCCGTTTAACCCTTCAAACCCTAACCCAAGTAAAAGCAATTTAAACATTTTTTTATATTTTTTTTTAGCTTATGTTATGTGAACGGGGAGTAACAAATATAAAATAGGTGTTATCCCAAATTGGCTGTGGAAGTAGAAATACACTTTAAAGAAGAATTCAAATTACAAATGAACCCTGGGGGTAGGACTACCCCCGCACTGCAAGGGTTAAGTGCTCCTTTTGGTCTGGGATATAAAATAACAAAGATATACACAAATTATCCTCGATGCCATCTGACTGTTAGGTCCCTGCAGCTCCTTCTCCCCCGCCAGGCTCCGGCAGTCTAAGCTGCGCTGATGTCCTTTCACAGCCGGAGCGGGAGAGAGGTGAGTGGTCATCGCCGCAGGACCGAGGATCAGGTAAGTATATCTTTTTTTATTTTAGACCCTAGACCAAAACAATCACTTATTATAATTTGTAATTTGCCCAGAGTTCTTTTTTAAGTTTGGATATATGGTGCTAAATTTGTAGGGGGTATAGTAAGCCTTGTAGAGAAATGTAGCTGTTTAAATGTGTCTCTAGCTGAGATCATCAGGGTACTGTAATGACCCAATCCCTCTTCCCCACTTTCCATGTGAAATGCTTGGTGGGATTAAGGTGAGTTCATACTTAGAAGATGTGATTAGAGGGAAGTAATGATTTTCATGGGAATTGTTACATTTTGGTGGGGTTGTCGGTCTACAAATACCAGATCGCTGAGTTTAGAGTACAGTATGGAAGCTTCCAAATTAACTGGTGGGTCAAGAGAACTATCACCTCACCAAAAATGCAACTCAGTAGTATGTTTGAAAATTGAGGAGTTGTAGTGAAGCCAGGGCTATGCGTGGGGTTCAGCTCACCCAGATTAGTGAAGTGAGGGCTATGCGTGGGGTTCAGCCCACCCAGATTAGTGAAGCCAGGGCAATGTGTGGGGTTTAGCCCACCTACATTAGTGAAGCCAGGGCAATGTGTGGGGTGCAGCCCACCCAGATTAGTGAAGCCAGGGCAATGTGTGGGATTCAGCCCACCCAGAATAGTGAAGCCAGGGCAATGCGTGGGGTTCAGCCCACCCAGATTAGTGAAGCCAGGGCAATGCGTGGGATTCAGCCCACCCAGATTAGTGAAGCCAGGGCAATGCGCGGGGTTCAGCCCACCCAGATTAGTGAAGCCAGGGCAATGCGTGGGGTTCAGGCCACCCAGATGGATAAAGATTATATTTACATAACTAAATATCTTTTTCATATATATTGGGCTTTGTCAAAATAAGTAAATACATGTGGGGAGAAAGGGAAATGTTCAAAAGGCTGCAGTTAAAGAAAGTGATGTTCATGTTGGCCATCTGGTTGTGGGGTCAGGTTATTTACATGATCTATTATTCTAGTCCAAGCACAATTCCACCACATAAAAATATATCCATAAAGCTACCGCGTTCCTTTATAATTCATTCTCATTACAGGTTTACAATAAAACCATACAGTTTAAGCAGTGACTATGAACTACAGAAGCATGACATTTCCCATGACAGTCTGGTGAAATGCAGTCACCTTTTTACTGGATATAATAATGTGTAAGGTACTTTGCAGAGAGAGTCAGGTTACACGTGTTCAGGAGAAATGTTAATATACAGGCCCGTTAGCAGAAGATGGATTTACACCTTGGAAAGGAGTTCTGTAGATACACCAACAAAATCTAATTGGACACATTTTTATCACCTCTCTGCCAAGAAGCAAAGAAGGAATGTTAAAGGAATTACTAATACTTTTCAGCGTGGTCGAGGACTATTCACAGAAGGGTGGTTAACACTAATCTAGAAGAGTACTCCAATCCTCTGTTTTATTCAGAAACCTGATAGTAACAGACAAGCATTAGCTGTGTAGAACTCCAGGGCCCACCACCTTACATCCTTCCAGACCACACACAACACTCTCAGTTCCCATACACTAAGGTATCCTTGTATCTCGGCTATATAACAAATCTGAAAGGAAAGGGAAAACATTACCTGCTCAGAAACACCTAGAATGTGTCCAATTTGCCCTTTACCTCCAATAATACAAACAGAAATGTACAGTATACATTATATATATACCTGCTGGGGGGAAAATGAAACTGGCTAAAGAAAATAAAAGCTCACTATTGCCAAATCTACAGCACCCTTATTAATCACAAGGTGATAACATATATGACCTCACACTTCCTAAGTACATCTGTCTTTCAGATAAAACACATGTTCACAGAACGCCTTGTATTCTATGAGCAATTCACAGAATACAAGGCATTCTATGAATGGCCAAGAGGAGAGGAAGGCAGTTAAATGACATGGTCACTTATTTGTATGAAAGCCACTGCTCTCATAACCTTAGCAGCACTGGCTGTAGTATCTCCACTCCACTCCGGCTGTGGTATGTCCCTTGCTGTCCTCAATCTAATACAATTGAATGGACTGTATTAGACTTAATGACGTCAGCGGGGCTTATGCTAGGGAAAAATAGGTTGTGCGGACCGGTCTAGCAGCCAGGCAGGATCAAGGATTGGGAGAGTATTTCTTCTTTATTTGAGTCCCTAGAGAAGAACAAGCAGTTAACCCTTGCAATGTGGGGGTAGCCCACTGCAAGGGCTATTATTTCTAAAATCTGGTTTTTTTTATTAAGAGTTGTGTTTCTGTTCTGCAATTTCTAGGTAAAAAAAACTGTTAACCTCCAACATGGCAATACCCTATTTGCCAGCGTATAAGACGACTTTTTATACTTACGAAAATCGGGGGTCGTCTTATACGCCGGGTATACAAAACGTCCCTAATCTGTCAGCCTGCTGGATGTGCGGTAATACTGTATGTACGGTAGCTTCGGCTACATACAGTATACCGCGCTGAGCTAATCACGGCGAGCGATGTACACAACCTCTGCCAATCCGAGCAGGCTTTGTATTCATTAATAGAATACATCGCTTGCCGTTATTAGCTCAGCTCGGTATAATGTTTGTAGCTGAAGCTACATACAGTATACCGCGTACAATGCTTTTCGTGATTGGCTCAGCACGGTATACTGTAGCCGAAGCTACCGTACATACAGTATTACCGCACATCCAGCGGGACAAACAAGTCAAATGGTGAAGCTCCTTCCTGGGGTGGCCACATACAAGTCTATGAGGGTTCAGTGTGTAGCATTGCAGAGGATTCTAGCTGAAGACATTACTGCACAATATATGACTCTGGTATTACCGCACTTTCAGCGGGCTGACAAAATAGTGGGTGTATTTAAACAAAATGGCCCATGTTGATGTTTTTAAATGGTGTTGCGTCGGAAGGGGGGTAGTCTTATACGACGAGTATAGCACAAAACCTATGTTTTAACTGAAAAATTAGGGGGTCGTCTTATACGCCCATTCGCCTTATACGGCGGCAAATACGGTATATAAAAGTCTGTGTTTTCCTTTGAAGTAGGCATGTCCATTACACTTATGACAATATATTAAATTATTTTATCCCCAAAAAAACAAACACACACACAAATGCGTTACACACATTACACACACTTACACATATAAGTGGTATTCTTGATTATGTACTTCTTAGCAATAAATCCGTAAGCTTATAGCTTCACACAAGAGAGACTCCAGGCAACAAGTAAAATTATCCTTACCGTACCTTAGTTGCCCTACTTGTCTCCAAACAATTTATACTATAAGTATATACGTAACCAGCCGAATCAATTTACACTAAGAATCTTTCTATAGTATTTACTTTTTGAAGAAATAAAACCCAAAGATAAAATGCCGGACTTACTGAATGTTAGGATTTGGACTGTGCGTCGGTCCTGTTAAAAAAAGAATTTGAGAATTAGGATGATTTCTATTTTAAGCAGTACATGCTTTATGAAGTAAAATGTTATTACTAATGGTATAAAAAGTCAAACAAACATTTTTTAGATAGGAATTGTTAATTATAATTCGTCAAACTGGATCCGTTCAGGGAAAAGTGAAAGTATGTTTCTAAAGTTGCTTCACCTCCCCAGTTATACTTACAGTATTGGTGGTCCAGCAACGGCCCTATCCCCACTGCTACCGTATAGAAAACCTGATGCTTTAATTGGGGGGTATGTAACCTCCTCCTATTGACAGTGTATGGGTATAGTGTCATTATTACTCCACCTAGCCTCTGACACAGGCGCCACATTACAATCTGAGGCAGGAGCTGCGCTGGAGCATTAGCAATGTGAGTAGGAGGAGGTGGCCCTTTACAATGGGCAAAGTGACAGTATCTTTTTAATGTGATTGTCAGTGTCAATGGACAAGTGAAGACTGGGAGGTAAGAGGTGACAGACCCAGCTTAATTTTTATAGGAAAAGTAGAGAATTGCATATAACTTCAAGTGCTTTTAGTATATTTTAGGACACTATCTGCAAGGAGTTTGCATGTTCTCCCTGTGCTTACGTGGGTTTCCTGCCACACTCCAAAGACATGATGGAAGGTTAATTGGCTCCTGTCTAAATTGGCCCTAATATGCGTGTACAATAGGGAATTTGACTGTAAGCTCCTTGAGGGCAGGGACTGATGCGAATGTACAGTGTGTGTACAAACCTCGTAAATTGTCAATGCTATACATATACCTGTAATAAATATTATTATACACTTAGGTTGAATTATCCTGGTTTTTTTAAAGTTTTTCTTAAAGCATAACTACAGACAAAATAAAAATGAACAGCCTTTTAAATGATAAAACAAAACGTGGCTTTTACTGCATTACTCCCCCTTTGGTTGCAGTGTCACCCAGTATGGGCTGAGTTTATTACTTCATGGTACTCATGCATCATTATGTCGACATTGTTTAGCAGCTGAAGCAGTATGGACTGACCCCTTGTTGCCACTTCAGGAGAGGAGTAAGGACATGTGACATCATTAAAGTGAGTGGGGCGGCTTATTAAACGCTTAAGTTCACCCTTCAAATTTAAATGACATACGTACCAAGTCTGACAAAAAGAACCCCAGTAGCACTAATGGTCTTTATTCCATTTGTGGCAACACACTGATAGTATCCAGTGTCTGTGGTGTCCAGGTCCTGTATCCTCAGCCGTGAACCATATTCTGTTTTTCTTATGGTAATTCTCTTGGGCTCCTGCACCACCGGAGCATCATTCTTCAGCCACTTCATATTTGGGAGCGGATTTCCGGCCACCTTGCAATGAAGGGTGGCTGCTTGACCTTGGACAATTGTGATGTTGTTTACAGGTTCCAGAAATGTCAGAAAGTGTCCTGGAGGAGACAAGAGGTCACAAAATATAAAACTGCAATTCCAACAAAGCCTCAGGGCACATTTATGCAAACAACATGTACACAATACTTTGACGTTTTTATTCCATACATTGCTTTAAACCAGTGCTATAAGTTATACAAATCAGCATGCACAAATGTAAACAATTTAGGAATTGTTTTTAACACAATTGTGATAAATTATTTTCATTTGTATTACAGATACTCTTAGGAACTGTTATCAGGGGCAAGCCTAGCATTCGGTGCAGCAAGCTTGTGTCTAAGACAGGGTTTAGCAACTCCATCCTTTCAGCTGTTGTGGAACTACAAGTTCCATGAGGCATTGCAAGACTGACTGTTACAGGCATGACTTCTAGAGCAAAAGGAATGTTGGGATTTGTAGTTAAAGCACAGTTGGAGGGATGGAGTTGCCCATCCCTGGTCAAGAAGCAGAATTTTAAATTCAGAGCACTGAATATGCAAATTGAGGTTCCCCCTCAGATCTCTGACAACCACACAGGCCTCAATGCAATATGCCATGCTTCTCTGACAAACAGAGAGGTGGGCAGTGCAGGTGGGGCAGTGGGCTAGGAAGTCAATATTTAAATACTGAATACTTTGAGTTTGGGCCCTCAGGAAGATAAAACACATAGTACAGGTACTTTTGACTTATGTTGGTTTTAATTGTTGAGAGATTCTAGATTTAATTCAAATTCCCTTTTTGAATTGATCCTTTTTATAACATTTCACATAGCTCCATACATCAGGTCTCGGTGATGAGATGCCGTGGAAAATCTGAGTAATGCAAAATAAATGCTGAAAACATCTTTAGTGAAGTAAGTGCCTAAAATACTTATAGTCTCAAGAGATTGTGAACTATTCAACACATCAATCACATTTCCTTCTTCAACAGACCTAAGGGTGGAAATGCCTTGTATATAATGCTTGTGTGTGTGTGTCTGTCTGTGCTTGAGTGAGCGTACATACACACACACATACACGCACAAAGTATGTCTGGCATGGGCCTTTGCTAGCTGAGAAGCAGGAGCTGCAGAAAGCAATTATTCGGTTGTTACAGATTTGGCAGCCGAACAAAAACACAGTGCCATTGCACACATACTCAAGAGACTTCAAAGTCTTGGGAATTGTGCAGTGTGGATTTTGCCACTTACCTCTCCCTTTAATCCTATATTACAAGCTGTATAAATAAGACTGGGAGAGAATGCTTATGTAACTGACACTGCATGCTTACTCATAATGGCCCATTTAAAATTCATGTACACTAAAAGTAGCTCAAAACATTTACCCTATGAAAACTCATTACATTCTTTTAATTAAGACATATAGTATCCTCTAACTCCTGTAAAAATATACAGTCTTTAAAGGAATACTATATCTAGTGGGAGATTTTTCAAGCTTTATTTTATGTAGAATGCTATTTGGATGGTAGGCTTGTGCTAAATGGTTAGGCAGCACATCATCCAAACATCATCTGTATGTTAGACGGATTATGTGTCTCCCAGGAGCTATTTGACATTTGTCTAATTGAAAGAAATCTCTTCTAATTTTTTAGTTGTTCCTGTCCCCCCAGGGAACAAACAGCATGTAACACTTTGCTGCATCTTCATAAGTGGTGTATATAGGCTAGTTGAATGGTCGCACAGGGTGCCCCCCACTGCTGTCTGACCATGCAGCTAGCAGGAAGATGAATATTAAAAAGCATTGACTGGCATGGGCAGTAACAGATGCATGCCTGATACGTAACACTGCAGGAAGCCAGTGACATGGGCTGGCAGATGGCATACTGGAGGGTACTTGTTGGACAGGGAGAGCAGAATCAGGGTGACTGGGTGTAAGGAATCAACAGAACAGCACTGGTTGCAGAGGAAGAGATAGTACATAAAGGGAGGCAACATGACCTAGAGGAGAAGACGCTGATGAAGGAGGCACCAATGCCAAGCTGGCACAGAATGACAGTACCACTTTGGGGTACAGTGCTCAGGGCCACCACTGAGGACAATCCTATATCCTGCCGGGCACCTAGCTGACAGTAGTGAAGATGCTGTCACTACTCCTGGCAGCCTTTATACAAAGCAGTATGTGCTCCATTGTGTTGTGTGGTAACAGACAGGTAAGCTCACTAAACAAGGGGGGCAATGGCCACTGAGCTCAGCAATAGTAACTCCCAGAAATCAGGCTTCTATCAGGGAAAGAGAAAAGATAGCCAGCAATAGATAAAGAAGGGCCTAGGGTTAAAGTTTATATCCAGCCAAAACTTTTTTTTTAGTTTTACAGATGGAATGGAGATCGATTAGAAGTTGTTTGGTTATTACTGCTATCCGTAGCTCTGTAAAGGAGCTTTTCACTAACATAGTGTCTAATTATAAATAATTAATTGTGTGATGCGAACAGAAAACGTTTTCTGCACATTCATCCATCTGTATTTCATGCCATCTATTTCCCAAGAGGATTCATCCCATGTGCAATGTGGCAGTTGGGTGAACCTTGTTTGTTATTGCAATCGTTCACATTTAAAGTCAAACAAGATTCTCCCATGAGCATCAGGATTTGTGTTTCTGTCCATTCATTGCTGAGATTTATACAGCTTTGTCTGTCAGGACAGAAGGCCTGATTTTTCCCTTCTGCAGTTACTTATTATTTTTCTCTTCTGCAGTTACTTAATACTTATAGGTCTTATCTCCCCCCCAGTTTGTGATTAAGCAGAGAAGTGAGAACCAGCAGATTGATTAACTTTTTGCACTGCAGAACAACAGATTGGCTCCTTGTGTTGTTTCTCATAATGCCAGTCTAAGCTCTGTCTACATGGGATTGCTTGAGGCTGCTGGGAAGTCAAATTAAGGTACTTTTTAATTGAAAAAACACACATTTAATGATTTATTAATTAATACAGAGCTGCATTAATTAGTGTAATTTAAGTCTGTGTGGTGTTCAGCTTTAACCCCTTACACTTTCTAAACCAGAAATGTTACCATATCAGTACAAAAATATCCTGTGATCCTGTAATATCCTGTAATCCTTACAGTCCCTGAGCAGAATAATAATTTGTAAAAATGTATACAGTCTTCGTGCCTGCATGTGGTTGTCCTTCAGATGCATTAGTTCTATCCCACAACCCAAATACAAACTGACTAATTGCCTTCCACCGATACCTGGCTCTACAATGTGTGTGTGACAGTGGCAGTGATAATAGGCAGTAAGCTTTTCCAGGGGCAGGAGCTGATGGTTCAGTTTATGATGCAGAATATGTCAGCACTAAATAAATGAATATAATAAATTAATTGAATCAAATCAATAGAGCTGACCACTAGGTGGTGTTGAAGGGCTCTTAAAACATTTCTAATTGACTGTCAGTATCTAAATGATAGAGAATGATATAAACTGTGGACTAAATTCAGCACACATATATAAACTACTTGTAATTGTTATTATAATTTAACAGTCAAAATGATGCAGCACAAAGTTTTATATATAGATCTAT